ATGAAACAGAAATTGGGAGGAAAAGGGTTGCTAATATTCAGGAGGGCTAATAATTCTGACTTCAAGTGTATACATACAGTTATTTTCCACCCTGCAAAGGAAAGAGAAATAAATACAATATATTAAAAATATAAAACAAACTGTGCTTTAAGCATCATCACTGTAAGAAAAACACTTTAGCTACAAAAATCCTTTAGTCAAGACTAGTGAGGTATTTTCTCGTTGTTTGATTAATAATCATAAAAACAGGCGGCAGTAGTAATATTTCTCACTGTCTCTTTGGTTTCTCTTTCACGTGTCTTTTGATCCTCAACTCGTTTGTTTATTACACAAATGAGGGTTAAAATAAATAATCACTAAACACCGCGTTTTGACACCTATTTGACCATTAAAGCGCTCACGCTAATGACTTTAGATGTCTGCGCTCCTCTGCTCGTCTCAGTGTGCGAATGAGCGAATGCTGACTGGCCGCGTGCTTCTGACTGAGTGTGCGTGCTGCACGAGGTCTTTCGCGCTTTTAGGAGCAACACGTTTACAACTGGAAAGGTGGCGGTATATGATGCAATAATCATTTATCTCAAATAAGGCTTTTTATAATCGTTTGAAATCGAATTAATAATCGATTAATTGCACAGCCCTATATAATAGTGGAGCATTTTTATGCCTTTTTCTACCTCAATACTTATACTCTCCCGCGCCCCCCTTGTGAACTCTGGCGCCCCCCTTAGGGGGGCGCGGACCCCAGGTTGGGAACCACTGGTGTAAATGACATCGAATCGAAAATCTGCCATTAGTTCAATGACTCTCTGGATTGTGTTCAAAACATCAGGCACTTGAATGGACGAGCGCTGCAATTTCTCATTTTATCAAAGCTCAATTGTTAAATTAGCATCTGTGGACTGGAAAAAACAACAACAACAACAACAGGACAAAACCTGCAGGATTCTCACCACTTGGCCGTAGAGCTCCTTGAGTTTGTCTGTTTGCTCTGGGATTCCCTGGATAGTTTTCAAGGCGTTCTCCACTCTGTTGAGTCGGTATTCACAGTAGGCTTTCTCGAACCCGATCATGTCACTACAGAGACAAAACGCAATTTATTAAAAATGAATATCATGCACTTTTACGATTATTTACAGAAGGTCACTGTAGTCAGAATCACTGTAGTCAGGCATATTTAGAGCAATAATCATTTGATGACATATTAAATGACTATTTAAGGATCACTGTGCAGCCACAATGTAATGTTTTTTAATAGTGCAACCACTGTTATACAATGACTTGCCTAATTACCTTAACTTTACCATAATGAACCTATTTAAGCCTTTAAATGTCACTTTAAGCTCAATACTAGTGTCTTGAAGAATATCTAGCAAGATATTATGTACTGTCGTTTTAGTAAAGACTAAATAAATGAGGTATTTGAAACTAGTCATTTAAATTATTGTTTAAAATTTGTTAAATATTATTTACTGTCATCATGGCAAAGATACAAGAAATCAGTTATTAAAAATGAGTTGTTAAAAAAATTATGTTTAGAAATGTGTTTCTCCTTTCCATTATATACACAGCTGACCCATTAGGTTATCAATTTGTCCGTAAAACATTTTAGCAATTTAAAATATACTAAATTGTAGCATGAACATTTGCAATTTTTTATTTTTAATATGTACAGATTAAAATAAGCATTTATTTTTTGTAAATACATCAATATCTTATAGTGAATAACAATGGAACATTATTTAACTCATATATATATATATATATATATATATATATATATATATATATATATATATATATATATATATATATATATATATATATATATATATATATATATATATATATATATATATATATATATATATATATATATATATATATATATATATATATATATATATATATATATATATATATATATATATATATATATATATATATATATATATATATATATATATATATATATATATATATATATATATATATATATATATATATATATATATATATATATATATATATATATATATATATATATATATATATATATATATATATATATATATATATATATATATATATATATATATATATATATATATATATATATATATATATATATATATATATATATATATATATATATATATATATATATATATATATATATATATATATATATATATATATATATATATATATATATATATATATATATATATATATATATATATATATATATATATATATATATATATATATATCGATATATATATATATATATATATATATATATATATATATATATATATATATATATATATATATATATATATATATATATATATATATATATATATATATATATATATATATATATATATATATAGATATATATATATATATATACATATA